CCATGCCGGGCCCGTAGAAACTGAACATGTGTGCATAAAATGTATATTGTCTAATTTGTTTATCTTAACAGTTGGTTTGGTATCTGCTGTTACAACTAATATAATTATCTGTATCAAAATATAGTGGCATAATGTATTATATCGTTGGACGGATTATTTCGGATTATTTGGTATAAATAATTCGAAGTTCAGTCGACGTAACGATAATGAATTAATATATTTCTTGATTTCTTTCAACAACCTTTGCTACAGGTTACATTCACTTTAACGCATGTTGTATGCCTAAGTTCACAAACAAACTTTTTTCAACATAAACTGTGAAACTACTGTAGGCTTAATACGCTAATAACGTTTAAGAAAAAATTCCTTGACTGATAACAAACGCTTGCTAACTTAATGATTAATTTGCATAAACACTGATACTTACTAAATAACTTTACTCGATCAGTCTTCTCTCAATCAACACTGACAACAAACACATTGATGTTGTGTATAATGTTAGGATTAATAAATATAAATTATGTCAAAGTATAGAAATGACCAGTACCCAGGAACTTGGATGTCAGTAGGCTGTTTTAAAAAAGCATTTGGTGGCCAAATATTATTAATAAGAACTTACTGTAACTGAGAGTAGTCTTCAGTATATTTTCGATTTGACACTTTGGTATCAGTGGATGTATGAATAGGTTTGTAGTCATGTCGCAGCTCAGGAGATGTCACCACCAACATATTTCTGGACTTGATTCTCCGACCAGTGAGGCAACAGATAACAAGCGCTTTTATTAAGAAATTTAAAGGGTTAACCCTGCTATATTGTTTCAGCTGTCCAAGCTCTGTCACAGTTAAGAGGAATAAAATGGGTGAATAAATAGATCAGGAGCACAAGAGAAACAATCTTTATCATTTGTAAACCTAAAGACGAAGGGAAACTGGTGTAAATTTACATTACTAAACACTTAGGCTGACCTAGTGAAATATGTACTAGTATACAAATATTAGTGTATTACTTCAGTTAAAGACGAAGGGAAACTGGTGTAAATTTACATTACTAAACACTTAGGCTGACCTAGTGAAATATGTACTAGTATACAAATATTAGTGTATTACTTCAGTTAAAGACGAAGGGAAAATGCAAACAATTTCATTCAACTTAGAATGGTTTCCTCCTATTTTCCATCGTGTAAGTTCAAAATTACTTATACAAAAGATCGTTTTAAGTAGTTTTAATAATGTTTCTTGTACTTGTATTAAATAAGTGAAATTTATAGCAGTGCGGTCTCGTGATAGCCTTTATGATGACTTCACGCTTAATATTGGGCCATAGGCAAGTCCCAGATTTTAGGTTTGAGTTTAAGTGGTGCTCGAACAGTGTAATTTTTTGCATTATTAATCAGTTGAAATATTTCATGCGAAACATGAATAAAAACGTATCACCAGCTCCACCAGGCGGTGATTTGGGCCTATCATGAAAAATATTTAAGGTATTGCTTGTAACCGCTCGAGTAATATTAAGTATACTAGTCTATTACATGTTTGAGATTTAAAATTAGACGTATGAGATCAAACTTGGATAATACTATATAGAAGATGAAACGAATGAGTTATACAGGTCGAAACAACATTCTGTATGACCTAGAAATACTTGTGAGCATTGCCATCTTTTCAACGAAATGTACTCTTTTTTTTTCTATCTTGTGTTCTCTGGATTGATTGACCTATGTTCTATGAATAGTTTTAGTTTGTTCTTATACTCTGTGTTCCTTGGGTAGTTTCACCTGGGTTTCTTATATTGTTTCCCTAATGTTCTTTATCGTCTGTTCTTTGGATAGTTTCACGTGGGTTTTCTTTCCTGCTTCCTTACTGTTCTTCATACTTAGTTCTTTGGATAGTTTCACCTGGGTTCTTCATTTTCTGTAACTTGAATAGTTTCACCTGGGATTTCTATCCTGCTTCCCTAGTGTTCTCCATACTTTGTTACTTGAGTAGTTTCACCTGGATTTTTTATATTGTTTCCCTGGTGTTTTTTATACTGTGCCCCTTATATAGTTTCACCTGGATTTTTCTATATTGTTTTTCTGGTGTTTTTCATACTGTGCCCCTTATATAGTTTCACCTGGATTTTTTGTATTGTTTCCCTGGTGTTTTTCATACTGTGCCCCTTATATAGTTTCACCTGGATTTTTTTTATTGTTTACCTGGAATTTTTCATACTGTGCCCCTTATATAGTTTCACCTGAATTTTTTTATATTGTTTCCCTGGTGTTTTTCATACTGTGCCCCTTATATAGTTTCACCTGGACTTTTCTATATTGTTTCCCTGGTGTTTTTCTAGTGTTCCAAATGTCCAGGATTTATAATTGGTAATTATGTACCTTATTTATATATTTATTTATAGTATAGTAGTTTTTAAAGACTAATATGTTCCGGTAAAGTAAACCTGGTTGTCTTCTACCGCCATACGTTTTATAATTTTCTGTTGTTAAAAATATGACACAAGAAGGCGCTGCACTACGGTACGTCATCAACTGATTTATAGGACGATAACAAGAAGAACTAAAACAAATCTCTGAAGAAACATATTTTGTAATTATCTTGCATTATAACTAAAGTTAAGCGTCTGATATCACTTGTATAATTCTACAATTTCAGCAAGTAGGTTTGAAGGCGGAACCTCTCACATACCAAGCGAGTGCTGTACCAGCTTAACTAATTAGCACTTTCTATTAAGACACTTTTTTAGCAACTCAAGCTCTTACAATCTTCCCCTTTCAAAAGCAAGGCACGTCCTTAGTCTTTATCTCACGGTCATGGGACTTTTCAACATTGGGCGCCTGTTTTCTTGTGCGATCAGGATTTAAGCCCGAGACCGAGTACTCACACTACAAGTAAGTGCTCTAACAACTGACCTAAAGGGTTAACCCACTAGAAATTGCTAGTAAGGCACTTTTGAACAGCCAAAAGTCAAATTAAATCAAATATATATAATGATCTAGAGAAATATTTTGTTTTACAGAAATAGAACATGAAAAATGGGAATTGTTTCGTCAAAACTCTTCAGTATTAATTTGTTTGGAAATGCTAGGTACAAAGAACTACATAACATCTCCGTAACTGTTTAAGGTCGTGGTCTGGATCCCAAGTTTTTTTCAGTCCATTACATCACTGGGAGTTGGGTTTGTATTTACTTTCAAATGTGCCCGGCATGGCCAGGTGGTTAGGGCACTCGACTCGCAATCTGAGGGTCGCGGGTTCGAATCTCCGTCCCACCAAACATGCTCAGTAATGATTCAATAAGAGAACAACTTAATGACAGGTGTTAAAGTGTAGGTTTAATCCCAGTAATGATTCAATAAGAGAACAACTTAATGACAGGTGTTAAAAGTTAAATCTACACTGGTTAACACCTGTCATTAAGTTGTTCTCTTATTGAGTCATTACTGATTGAACCTACACTGGTTAACACCTGTCATTAAGTTGTTCTCTTATTGAATCATTACTGATTGAACCTACACTGGTTAACACCTGTCATTAAGTTGTTCTCTTATTGAAACATTACTGGTTAAATCTACACTGGTTAACACCTGTCATTAAGTTGTTCTCTTATTGAATCATTACCGATTTAACCTACACTGGTTAACACCTGTCATTAAGTTGTTCTCTTATTGAATCATTACTGGTTAAATCTACACTGGTCAACACCTGTCATTAAATTGTTCTCTTATTGAACCATCACTGGTTAAATCTGCACTGGTCAACATCTGCCATTAAGTTGTTCTCTTACTGAATCATTACTGGTTAAATCTGCACTGGTCAACATCTGCCATTAAGTTGTTCTCTTACTGAATCATTACTGGTTAAATCTACACTGATCAACACCTGTCATTAAGTTGTTCTCTTATTGAATCATTACTGGTTAAATCTGCACTGGTCAACACCTGCCATTAAGTTGTTCTCTTATTGAATCATTACTGGTTAAATCTGCACTGGTCAACACCTGC